CAGTGTTGGGGGGGTAAGGCAAGCAGAGGAACAAATGGAAGAAGGAAAACCAGACCCAGAGGAAGGAAAGGAAAAGGAAGAGACAAAAGGATGGCAGGAGGACAAACCTGCCCAGGCTGGAACTCCCGACGAGCACCAGAGCTGGAAGGATGCGAGAGGGGGACAGAGGCTCCAGGGCTCCGCACACGCCTGGACCAGCACATCCCAGCCCTTTTATTGGATTAAGATTCGCTATGAGGAAAGACAAATGCGGATCATTTCTCAGGTGACACACGCAAGAGGAGAGGAGGCTCTCTCTGCCTCGATTCGCCCTACGGGGGGAGAGAAGGGATTGCTGGAGTTTCAGGGTTGCTGTAGGGACAGCGGGAAGGCTCCATGGGAGCCACCAGCTTTCAACTTCGTCACTCCAAAGGCAGAAGGTGGCGAGCTTCAAATAAAAAGGGCTTTTGTCTCGCACGCCTTCGTGCTATTTAGGCTTTGGGGCTAGATTAGTATCACAGACCAGCAGAAAGCAGAGCTTTAATAAATAGGATCCAAAATCCTTCCTTGCCTCAACTGCCAGTTTTTTCCTCATTTGGAGCTCACGCTGCCTCAGCGCCCTACGATCCACAGCACGCACTGTCCAGCGAAGAGGAGGAGAAAGAAATCGGCAAACCTCAACAGAAGCGGAGAGGAGCAGCGCCCGGATTTCTCCCCTGCGCTTGGGAGGGCCTCGCACCGCCACAGTGCTTCTCTCCGGGCACCTCCCGGCAGCAAGACACCGGCTCCCGTGAGCAACGGGCTGAGGTGATACAGCATATTCACGGGCCCTAACACTGGGGACTTTGTGGCGCTGGCTTTTAAAAAAAAAATAGCCTAAAAAAAGCCTAATAATGAAGTATTTATTTCAGTAAACAACATATGAATGTAAGAAGTGTTTTCTCAATACTTCACTTTTTCCTTGCCTTCTCCCCCCCGCCCCCCCCAGCAATTTTTTTTTAATAAGTGGAACTAACGAGGCTTCGCTCACCAACGGTCGTGCTCGGGAGCAGGACTGCGCTCCACTCGCCCGGTGCAGCACATAAACACGTGCCGTGCGAATAAAGCCCTCCTTGTGCAGGGGAGAAACGCAACCCGTGAGCAAGTCCCCCCCCTCCCCGGCGAGGGGGGGAGATGTGCTGCGAGGGTCGCACAGACGGCGAGACCTGCAGCGGGAGCATCCCTGCGCTTTCGGGTAGGCAGCGCGGGACATACAACACCTTATTTATTGTGGCAGCAAATAACTGCACCTCCTGGCCCAGAGAAATGCCAGCACCCAGCAACCCTCCCCGCAGGGCTTCGCGGCGTCCCCAGGGACAGGGAGAAGGGCCAAGGGGAGATGAAGGGCTCTATTGTCCCCGTCGTACCTGGCAGCGCTCAGCGCAGGGGACACGGTGGTAGGCGGACACTGTGACGCCGTACAGCTCCTTCTCTTCTGCCTCGGCTCCATCCAGCCCTACCTGAGCACCTGACCAACTGGGAGCACTGGAAAACTGGTGCAGCTTGCCCTGCATGGGGATGAGACGCAAGGGTGCTTTCCGCTATGGCAGAGACAAGGGGGATTGGCCTCATGGTGTTTTGGTAGGAATTTTGGGCAGAAAACACTAATCCCTCCGCCAGACTGACACTCAGCTTTTCAAAGCAATGGCCACTGATGATTTTGTGCTTATAATCTCTACCTGTTCCTTGGCAACAGGTAACAGCAGGGCCACGAGCCCTTCCTTGCCTTCAAGCCTTGGGATTAAGACGGGCAAGGCTCTCAGAAGCCAAGAAAATTTGCGAAAATACAGTTCCGTCCCTTTTCCATCCCCCTCCTACCCCCATGGGGTGAGCTGAACCCCCCCATCACACACAGCGGGGAGACGCACCTTCTGCATGCAGGCAGGTAAAACAACGCCATGGTGAGGTTGGATTCGGCTTAGAAATACACAGAAATTTGACACATGCAGATATTTGCTCTGGAAACCAAATCAGGCATCTGTAGATCTGCAAGGGCACAAGCCGTGCCTTCCATCAGCCACAGCGACCGGCAGCCTTGCCTGCCCTCCAGCAGCTCCCGTGTGAGGGGCAGTGACACCTGCAGCTCCAAAAGCCCTTTGTGATGCTTTAGAGCAACTAGCGGAGGATGCTGATCCCGCTGCGACAACCATGGATCCCTGAAGATGTAAGAGGGAAGGAGAGAAATGATGTTTCACCCCAAGGAAAAGGCCCGGTGCCTCCTTTGTAGGACGCCAGTTGGAGCTTGCATGGGAAAAGCCTCCGAGTGCCTCCTTTAGTGCAAGTGTGTACATGTGGACCAGGCACATGCAGCACGGCACGCGTGGAAACCTGCCTGCAGTGTGCCCGTCCTGCTGGGGAGGTACTGCTCCGTGTGCAGGTGCCCCCAGCTGCTGCATCAACGCAGCTGGAACCAAAGAATGGTTTGGGTTGGAAGGGACCTTAAAGATCACCCAGTGCCACCCCCCTGCCCCGAGCAGGGACACCTCCCACCAGCCCAGGTTGCTCCAAGCCCCGTCCAACCTGGCCTTGAACACCTCCAGGGATGGGGCAGCCACAGCTTCTCGGGGCAACCTGCGCCAGGGGCTCACCACCCGCAGAGTGAAAAATTTCTTCCCAATATCTATTCTAAATCTCCCCTTTTCCAGTTTGAAGCCATTCCCCCTCGTCCTATCACTCCATGCCCTTGGAAAAAGTCCCTCCCCAGCTCTCCTGGAGCCCCTTTAGGCACTGGAAGGGGCTCTGAGGTCTCCCCTTTTTCGCCTTCTCTTCTCCAGGCTGAACCCCCCCAACTCTCCCAGCCTGTCCTCCCAGCAGAGGGGCTCCAGCCCTCCCAGCATCTCTGGGGCCTCCTCTGGACCTGCTCCAACAGCTCCGTGTCCTCCTCGTGCTAAGGACTCCAAGGCTGGATGCAATATTTCAGGTGGGGTCTCACGAGAGTAGAGTAGAGGGGCAGAATCCCCCCCTTGACCTGTTGGCCACGCTTGTTTTGATGCAGCCCAGCTAGCTGTTCTCCTGGGCCATCTGCTTAACCTTAACCATCTGCTCAACATTAAGAAGCACATTGAGATGATTGGGGAGCAGGCGATGGGCATGGTCCTCACCCCGTTCTGCTGCCTACTTGGGTCCTCGTCACCATGACCACCCTGGGCCACCGCTGCCACTGAGTGCCAGTGAGCCCCAGCACGCGAGTCCCAGCACCCCAGCCCACCCGAGCCCCACTGCCAGGTCAGATGTCTGATCCAGCTCAAGGTGTCTCCAGCTATGGATGAAACCCATGACCACAGGGCAGTTATCCTCCCCGTGGCCAGACCAGCCGTGCCTATGTCCCTGCAGGAGCAGTGACATCAGGTCCTTCTCTTTTGGACCTCGCGCTTTCCAGCCTCCATCTCCAACGCGACGGAATGGGGCAAACCGAAGGTAAAGGCGATTCCACCTCACCAAGAGCTCGTTTCTGAGCTGGCTTACAAAAACCCCATAAAATAGCATCACCTACCACTGCTGCGGTGTCGCTGCCGCACCAGGTGCTCTGCAAACTAATACAAGACAGATGGGTTCCCCTGGGAAAATGTCACTGAGCGAATGAAAACGTACCGCAAATATACCTTGACAAAGCAGGGCTAAAATAGGACCCAGGGGCTTCAAAGAGACATTTACAGGGAGAAAAGAGATTTACTGACTTCTCTTGCTTCTTTATGATCTCTGAAGATCATGAAGAGAAACTCTGATTGTTTTTAACGAGTCCTTTGCTTCTTTTCCTATTTGGTATATTGCAAATTCACATATTTGTCTATTTGGAAGATTCATAGTAATTGCAGAACAGCTTTCCCGATGACATCGTTTCAGCAAAGGGGAGAAAGTTGTGCAACTGGAGAAGAAAGCAATCTGTCACCAAATAGCTTAAATTCTTTGTCTGGCCTCATTAATACCTAGTTAGCTTTGATGCCTAACTAACCTCACAGATAGAGGAAGCCTTTGAGGAGGACTCCACAACCTCACATTGAAGTGTTAGAACATAAAATAAATGCCAGGAAGACCTCCAAAAAAAGCAGGGTAAACGAAAACCAAACTCCACATTCTTGCAATTTCTAAGCATTTCTCTTTTTTTCTTTCTTCTTTTTTTAAAAAAAAAAAAAAGTTTTAACCTCCTTTGTCCATCTAAGGAAGCAGAAAGCAATGCAATTTCCAGTTCTTTTAAATATCCTTAGCAGGTCACCTCTAACGCTGGGAGGGTTGACTGTGATCTGCTTCCAAGGCTGTTGCATCAGAGCTTAGAAACCCAGGATAAATTACTCCCTGCTCCAACAGGGACTGCAGTTTGAGACCTGTGCTCGGTGCTCGGGGGCCCTGCGGGTGCTGCGGCAGCAGCAGCGGGGAAGGAGGGAGCACGCAGTCCCTCTGGGGTGGGCAAACGGGGCTGCCCGGGAGGGTGGCTCATGCTGGGGCAGCCCTGTCCCCTCACACCACTCACCCCCAGCACGGCGCCAGCGGGGAGCCCCTGCGGCTCCTGATGCCCCCACGGCTCCCGGTGCCCCCATGCCGTCTGCGGCCGTCCCACCACAGCTCTCGGCTCTGGTTTATCCAACCGAGGTGTGTGGGGCAGCGGGATTCATCCTCCGGCAGCTCCTATGAGGAGTGTGGGGTGGGAAGGGAAGAGGAGAGGGACAGCCGGCAGCGGGGGCATGTCCGTGCCCCACATGAGCCCCGAAAGAACCCCCATGGCTCAGTTCATGGGGTCTCCTTCAGCCCCCAAGGAAGGAGCCGCCTGGGGCTCCCCGCTGCTCCCTGCACTGGGGCCAGGGGGCATGTTTTGGCTTCACACCCTGGGGGAGCTTCTGCAGCAGACGGAGGGGTTTGAAGGAGCGTTGTCCCAACAGGACGTTGCTTGGGCAGGGACAGAGAGTGGCAGGGGTGGGGACAGGGGACAGGAGGGGGACTGGAGAGGCAGGAGCTCCTTTCCCCCAGCCCTGTCCTGCAGCTCTTACCATTCAATGCTCAGAGACCTGGGCCGGAACGCAGACAGCTCGGCCGAGGCATACTCAGCTTTCCTTCTCTTCTCCTGCTTCTGCTTAACTGACAAGCGGTGGGCAAACCTAGAGAGGCTGCTTTCCGACCTGGGGAAGGGGAGAGGAAAGGCGTTAATGTCACTGAAGCACCCCAGCTCCCAGCGGCAGGTCCACGGGACAGAGCCAGGTGATGCTCGGAGCGGAAAGGCGGGGGCTCCCGGAGGGGCAGCGGCACCGGGACGGCGCGGCACCAGCCTCAAGGAGGGGAAGAAGCGGAGCAGCAGCAGCTTTAGCAACGCTTTGCAAAGCCAGGACCAGCACAGGTCTGTGGCGCGCTGTTAGCAAAATCGGAGCTGCGAGCCTGGCAGGCTGAGTTAGTGCCAGGTCCCGCTCCTCGCGGCAGCAAAATCACCTCCCCGGGTCATACGCTCCTGCCCAAATGCCAACTGGTGATGGCCAACACTGGAGAAACGCCGGCTGCTTCTGCTTCTCACAGTGCCTGCCCAAGAGGGGTCGGGCAGCCAGGGAAGCATCGACGGACAGAAGCAAAGCAGACCTCTGCCACGGCCGCACGTTCCTTCAGACGCCCCAGAGTCCCTGTGGCCTCCCCAGCTGCACTCTCAAAACACCGTGACAGCTTTCCTGATGGGGGGTAACATGTAAATCAGCCCACGTCGGAGATGTTTTGGAAGAGGAAACAGAAAGACCTTCAAGCAAATAGGTTCAGCTGCCACAACCGGGAGCAGAGGCGGGAGCAGCCTGGGGACCTGGGACACCCCGACTTGGGCACACAACCAGGCTGGTGGCACTGGTGCCATCTACCAGCCCTGCCACGCATGCTGGCATGGTCGCTGCCTCTCCTTCTCCTTTGGTCCTGTGCCAGCATGACCGGCTCCCACCGCTCAGCCGGCCCCGGGCTGTGCAGGGAAGGGACAGGAGCGATTTGACAGAGGTCCCGGGGGATAAGGGACAGACCCGGGGGGAGACTTTGAACCTACACACATTGCTAAAGCCAATCCTATTCTCCTCTCAAGTCCTGATCGGCTTCAACCAAACAAAATACCTCAGAAAAAAAGGAAGAAAAAAAGAAGGTATTTCTCAGAAACGAGAGCTCCCTGCCTTTCCTCACAATAATTAAGACAACCACGACCAGCTAACAGTTTTTTTCCCTGATACATTTTAAACACAGACATCTTCAATTCATTAACTCTGGTTATTGATTTATTTTTCAGCTTATGAATTGCTGTTGCTGGGGACGGGGTGGAGACAGCTTTCTGGAGAAGGCTCTCGTCTCTCCGATCACCGCCGGGAAAGAGCCACTCAGACCTTCCAGGGTCATTCTTTACATTCTTGAGAAGAAATACTACTTTGATGTAAAGGATGAGGTTTGCCTTAAAAGAAACCCAACAAGAAACCCAAACCCCAGCTTTCCTCCACTCGCAGCCGGAGGAAGAGGCGTTTGAAGAGGAGCGATCCAGGCGCCTTGTGAAAGCCCATCTAGCAGAGCCCTGCACTAACGCCATCCCGCCACCTCGCCTCTCCTTTGATCCGGTGTCAAAGCTCGGCTGTAATGAATAAGAATCCCAATTTAGGGAGGCGTGGGCTCGGGCCGCTCACGCTCTGCAGCAGCCCCCGGTGTGGTGTGGACCCCGGGGCGAGCAGGGCTTGGGGCTGAGCCAGGGATGGGGCTGGGTGGTGGGAACGGGGGCTGCTGGATTCCGACAGCACCTCCTCGGTGGCATTTGACTGCTCCCGCTGCGGCAGTCCTCACGCTGCCCACCTTTCCCCCTTCCCAGGAGAGGCTCCTGCCACCCTGCAGGGGTGAGGGCTCCACCCCCCCTGCCAGGACGCTGGGGATGTTGTTCTCATAAGATTTGGGGACTAGCTGGAGAACACTGTCCTATTTGCTGCACCCTGTCCCCACTGGGGACTGTCGGCCACCACTCCCAAACTGGTCCCCAGCAGGGATGGGGAGCTGGGAAACCCCAAACCACCTGCAGGGATGCAAGAAGGCAGCTGCCCCCTGCGACAAGCGAGTGCCTCCGCCGTGCCAGACATGCCTCTTGTGATGAACACCAGCGGCGCAATTACACACCCAGGAGGTTCACCCACACACCTGCCCAAAGCAGAGAAGGAGCAGCCACTGGATAGAGCCAACAGCATCTATCAAGACTGGGGGGAATGGCAGGGGGAAAACAGGGTGCCGTGCCGACTGGGCTCGGAATGAAGGAGCATCATTCCCTGTGCTGGTGGGGCCGGAGAATCCAGTTGGGTGCTCGGGGACGTGCAGCCTCCCCGTGACTTCCCCTGTGGCACAACATTGCAGGGGAAGGCTCAGGGAAAAAGGGGATGCTCTCCGGCTCAGGGCAGGCCCTGCCTAGATCGTCTCGACCCGGGGCAGACAAGTGAGGCCAGGTATGAGCCAGAAGGTCACCAAGTATCTTGAGATGTTGCATGCTGTTTTCAACCCCCTGACCAACCTTCCAGCCTACCAGTAACCCAGCCGGTTCACCCACCACCTCCAACTGCTCGCAGCCGGGTTAAAGGCGATGGCTGCGACCGCTCTGGTGGGCCGGTGCCTCCCCCTTGAGAGCTGTCAGCAACTCATCCAGCCCTCAGCAGTGAACCAGCCTCCTCTCACCTCCGCCAGACCCAAAAGCTCCAGCAGAAGCATCGCTAATTAGAAAGCCAGGAGCACATTACAGTATCATCTGGCTATTTATACAGCGCTGCTTTACATAAACTCTACTGCAGAAGAAGGAATGAATCATACCTGCTCTGCCGTGGCTGCACGCAGGCAAACGCAGCCCGATGCCAGCAGCCCGCTCTGCCCCGCTCCCCTCGCCCCACCGAGGCCCTGCTTGTGGGTCAGCTTCCCTGAGCTCCTCATGCTGGGGCTGCTCCGGTCCCCCTGGGGTCGGGATGCTCCCGGGGTCGGGATGTTCCCGCAGCGGTGCTGGGCGTCGTGCCCAGGGTCTGTGCTCTGCGGGTGGGCAGGGGGATGCTGCTGGGACCACACTTTTACTTCCCAAGTGCTTTCCACATGCTAATAGATGCCTTCATCCCTAGAGAAAGATCAATTTTAAGGGATCTTAAGCAGGGAAACTGAGGCACGCAGTGGCTGTGTGAGTAAGGCATGTTCCCTATGGCTGTTGGCATCTGTCCTCTTGTGCGCTTCACCGATGGGCAAGATTTTTGCGCCTTCTCCCATCACTACCAGCACGTTCAGCACCACAAGTGCCTGTTTGGGGAACAGGCAGCCCCTTGAGCCAGTTTCATCCCAGCCACGGGACGGGGACAAGGCCAACACTGCTCCCCCAGCCCTGCCTGCTGCATGGGAGGGGTCATGGTCCAGGATTTGGGGTGATCTGCCCATCCCGCCGTAAGAAGCAGCATCTCTGTGTCAGCTCAGCATCGGCGCTGCTGGGGCTTGGCAGACCCAGGCCACTTGCCGTGGCTCCCTGGCGGTCCCCGCATGCCACCGAGGAGCCGAGGGGACACGCAGGGAAAACCATCAATTGAAACATCAACCGCAGCGCTGGGAAGAATCGTCCCCTGACAACCAGAGAAGGTTGTTCAGCTACTGTGCTGTATCATAAATCACACCTCTATGACTTGCCATCTGTCAGCCAGATTACACATGTTCAGAGTCCCATGTCAGCGTTTAAGTCAGAACACAGCATCTTTTCCCCAGAAATAATTATTGGCCCTGGAGACTCTTGCAGTAATACCCATCCTCAGCCCTTCTCTCCAACCCTCCCAGCAGAGCAGAGCTGGCAACGCCGGGGAGGCAGGAACGCCGCTGCCGCTGGGGCGCGGGGATGCAAAGCCCGCACATGATGTCTCCCCCATAAAACCACTGCTTCACGCGCACACGGGGGTGGCAGGACCTGGCAAGCCCCCCCCCCCCCCCGCTGCCATCAGCCACAGCACCCAGCCCTCACCGCAGGCACAGAGCAGCCAAAGCCAGATGCTGCTGTGGAAGGGAGATGGGGACAGTACTGTCCCCAGCCTGGTGTGTGCTGATGGCCCCCCGGGGTGTTCAACCGGGATGAACGGAGGGTGCGCAGAGCATCACTCGCACCCTCGCTGCTGGCACAGCACAGCCCGGCAAAGGGGGACGACTCCAGCTCAGCATAGGGCACAGCTCCCACGCCAGCTGCGCTGCACGAACACGCCACCTAACACCAGCCTGACGCCCATCCCTTCACTAGGCGTGTTTTCTGGGGGTCTGACCCCCGAAACGGGGGACTGCCAAAGCCCCCGGCTCGCTGAGGCGGCGCGACCGCAGGCAGAGCAGAGACACGGTGTGCTGGCAGCCCGGCCCCGTCCTGCCCGTGGCTCTGCCAGCTCGTGAGCCATCCCAGCACGCAGCACCCCGGCGCAAAAACCCGCTCAGCTGCCCTTTCGCGTGAGGACAAGGGTCTGAAGCGCCGCCCTCCACCCCCTCGCTGGCCGGGCAGGCGGATGAGCAATGACATTTCCCAAAGCTGACTTGGTCCAGAAATACACAGGGACTCGATTCATCCCTCCGGCTTCACCAGCTGTGCACAGGCGCGAATCTGGCCGGGGGCTCACAATGCCTCACCGCCATGTCCCCCATGCCACAACTGGGCAGCGATGACAAGCAAAATCCCTGTCCCCTCAGCTCCGTGGCCCTCCCTCTCCCCTGCAGTGGCCCTCGGAGGGACATTGCGGGCTGTGGCTGCAAAGAGCAGCGCGTTTCAGCAGTTTGCAGCCATCAGAGTGAGTGCGTGCCCGTGGAAGCCCGGGTGCTCATGCGGCATCTCACCCAGCCACTGGCACCACAAGACCCGGTCATGCCGTGGCCAGAGCTGCCGGACAGACCGGCGTCCATGC